ACGCCTACTGCTACTACCCGGCCTGCGCGGCCTGCGCTGCCCGCCGCCCGAGCGGAGCGATCGCCGGGCGGCGGCGAGCGGCAGGCGAGCCGGGCGTTCGTACCGCGCGCCGCGGCGAGTAGTTAGGCGATCGCGCCACGGGGAGCGCTAGTGCGGCGAAATTGGTACGGCGCGTTAACACGGCTGGTACCCCTCTGGTTATGCGGTTCTCTGTGGCTGGTGAGTCACGGGGTCCCCGCTGCTGTCCGCACAGGAGCAGCCAGCGAAGGGACCGTGGGAAACTTGGGCGCCTACCCGTCACGGGGCCCCGGCCGCAAGCTATGCCATTCATACCAGGAGAGAGAGAGAGCGAGAGAGACAAGGGAAGGGCACGCGATGGTGGGCGCCCTAGCGGTGTTCCGGAAAAGGGGCACCCTGCCCCCCCCCCCTCCCTCCCTACTCCGGCACCTTGCGCCGCCACTGTCCACTCCAGCACTCCGGCCCAGCAGACCATGTCTCCATACCGCACGCCCCGCGCCGGCCGGATGCAGTAGTTGCCGCACAGAGGGCGATGACTCACCCAGCGGGCCCGCCGCCGCTGCTCCAAAGGGTACGTCACACTACGGAAATGAGTGCACACTCACTAGAAGTCAAAGAGATGTGACTTGATTGGGAAATTTGACGGAATGTCACGAGGTGAATAAGGAATGGATGTGACTACTCACACTCACTCAATACGAATTCGATTAACAATTGGATATGCAGAATTTTAAAAAGGCATAGTTGATGTACACGTTGTATAGAAGTATGTGTAAAAATTTGAATTTAAATACAACTATGTACAAAATTCTTCAAAGTTATGCACGGAATTGTGCTTAGCCAAAGCGTTGTCACAGAACTAAATGAAATGGTTTTGGTCTGTGGATGTAGCTGTAGCTGGAAACATAGCAGGGAAAAATTACTAGCAGTGAATGGATACGTTCGACTTTCGAAAAATGACTGGTAGCAGCATTGTACACACTGAAACAGCAGCGTCCCTTGGTTCGCTGTCACGTTGAATTGAAGCTGATCAAGGCTTCCAGGGGCTCAAATAAAAGAGTAGCTCGTGCAACTCGTGCAACTCGGTTGTAATAAAAATTTTAAAGTTTATTTTGTTTTAATAAACAATTAATCTATTTTTCCTTGCTTTAGCTAATGAGCCGTTGATATCACCTTGTTATCGCTAGTACTCCTTTCACCCTGACGGCGGGCTGGGCGGGCAGCAGTAGCATCAGGTGGGTACGTAGATTGGTGCCAGTTGCTGCACGACAGCGCACACAAACATGGCGGGCACAAACGGCGTTAATAACGCCATCACGGGACGCCGCGCGCGCCGCACAAAAGGAGAAAATAGAAATTTGCCGATAAAAAAAGAGAGGCGGATGACGCGCGGATCACCGGCTACACCGACGTCGTTGTAGCGCTGCGCACGAACGCACGAACCTCTGTTATAGTGCGAGGGAGCGAGAAGGAGAGAGAGAGAGAGAGAGAGAGAGAGAGAGGGGAAAAGAGAGGGAGAGGGACGGCGAGAGGGGGTTCGCTTCTCGTGAGCGTTTGCTTGCAAAGATAGGATCACAAAAGTGTGTGCCTGATATTTCCCAAAGTATGTCCTCATAAAGTATGCACGGGTATCGACGTACTGCCGCGGCCAGCCGGCCGGCAGAGGGCCTTGGCCGCACGAAAGAGAAAGAGAGAGAAGGAAAGAGTGCTCTGGAGGAAATAACAGCCGTCAATGTCCTTATGGTGGGGTATCGACCGGGGACAGCAGGGACAGAGGGCCTATCAAGATGGGCGGCATGCGAGATGGATGGATGGATGGATGGAAGGATGGATGGATGGAAGGATGGATTCAAGGGTGGATTGAAGTGGATTGAAGGATGGATGAGTTTGGTGAGGGTGGGTGGATAAGTGAGTATAAGTGGGAGTGGGCGAGTGGGTAGGACTGGATAGGATGCGTGGAAGAGTGGTGGAGTTGCTGGATGGGTCATTGGATGGGTGGATGAATGGGTGGATGAAGGGATGGATGGATGGATGGATGGATGGATGGATGGATGGATGGATGGATGGATGGATAGGGGGGATCATGAAATTATGGGTTCTGTTTTTTTTTAATGATTTATGTAAGGACAAGGACAAGAAGCGCGACAAGTTTGGAAGTGATTCCAGCCTATGTGGCCAATTGTCCCAACTCTGACGTCGACCTGCATCGTCCCTCAACTCGACGATCATCAGCAGCTCCAGGAATAGACGTGCTCAGCGCACCCGCTCTCAGAGTGCAGCTCCGGGCCGCACACATGTGCCCCCCGACCAAGTTTGCTTTTGCATTCAGCCGCCCTGTTCTGTTCTTTCGTCTCGCAGTACGCGCTGCGCCGTGCGCCACGGCAGAGCGACTGCTGAACCACTCACGAAGGCCCGCATCTCCTCAAAAAGCATCGTCGTCATGATGATGATGATGATGACGATGCGACAAAAAACGATAAGATGTACTGACGTTTTACGGGAAAATATTATTGTTGTGCGTAAAAGAAGCCGCATTTATGTATCCTGATGGTCGCGACCGTTGACGGAGCGCAAATAGAATTGAGATCGAAGAACAACGGAGTGGATGGGAGAAAGGTGGGGGTGTATATAGGGAGGGGCGGAGGGAAACTGAAAGATAGGAGGAAGAGAGACGGGGAGACTCAAACTCATCAGGAGAGAGAATTGCAATGAGGGCGGAGGAATCGCAATGCTTTATATGCGCGCTTCTTTTCTTTTCTGTCCTCTTTCTAGAAGGCGGCGCCGCAGCACAAGATGGAAGGGGGGGGGGATCAAGGGGACTCCCTGCGTAGCTCACTTCAAAAGAATATCAACCCTTTCGTCTTGACCGACCACACTGCGGAATGCACACACTTAGGTCCTTCTCATTCAGAGCTTCCTTGAGCTCGTCCAACAAAGACAGCCCCGCATTCCTGGTGGGGGCCTCGCTCTCAGCTCAACGAAAGTAGGAAGCCCTCAACCCTTCATGAAGTCTGTGCCAGAATAATTGAAGTTACATAGACACGACTGGTAGGCGCAATAACACTGATATAAGAATGAAATGTTCCCCCAAGAGAACACACCCACACGTGCGCCTGCGTTCACTTTCTTGGTGTCGATAATTAGAAGGAAAGCCAACGTGCCAAGGATTTCGAAAGAGAGAGAGAGAGAGCTGGAGGATGAATTCTCGCTTGAAACATCAAACACCATCATCAGTCCCTCCTCCTCCGTGCGATGAGGTCCTCGGCGCACTCACTCCGCGCAGCGCGCGCCGCCACGCTACGTCGCCCCCAAGGCGAGGGAGTTGGCGCTCGTGTCTCACAAGGAGGGGTGGAGGCGAGAGAGAAGGGCGGAGAGAGGGAATGGAAACGGCACGAATGGAAATAATCATCAGTTCCTCCCCAAAGAATGTTCCCTCTCTCTCTCCCCGCTGTGGCGTTTCTTTTTGTTTCTCCTCTGTGCTTCTCCTCTGCCTAGGCCTCATACTCCTTCACATTTGTGCAGATTCCTTGTAATTCCCCCCCCCCTTCCCCTCCCGTGCTGATTGCACTGCGAGGGCCGCGAGATGCAGGTGCACTCATGCTGCAACCCCAAAAGTGATGAAAAGCGAACGAACCCGCTCCTCCCCGCGCCGTCCCAGAGACCTTCGATCTGCGGCGCCGACACATCATCGACGCCATCACCACTCACCCACAAGAAGTCAAGTCCGTGTATACACCCCAGCGGCTGCGTTGCTGCTACCAACCTGAAACCAAGGAAAGAAACAAGAGGTCAGAACAAAGACAAGCGCACTTTGCGATCATGAGCGTGCCATCCCCTGGCGGCGCCGACGAACTGGTAAGGAGTCGTGGCAGTTTGAGCGGAGATGACATGGGTATTGATTCACCTCCTCCCTCTCCCTCCCTCTCCCCTTCTCTCACCCTGACCCGCCGCACTACCCCCGCGGGCCGCCCGTAGGCTTTGGCCCTATTCGTTGTGTGAGCCTTCATTTGCTGCCCTCCCCCCCCCTCTCCCGGCGCTGCACATCTCGGCGCCCCGCCCCGCCGGCGTGGCTCCTGGTGCAACCGACTCGAGAATCAATGGGGCCTAAGTCTGCATGTCTCTCTCTCTCACACTCCTCTCACCACCCCCGTAGGGTCACCCCCCGCCCCGCCGCGTCCTCCACAACCCTTTTGTTTCTTATACGTCTTTGCATTTTCGCCCGCCACCCCCTCAAGGCTCGCTGCTGCGCCAAGCTGCTGCGCCCTCCACTCTACATATCGGTGTCTCTCTCGCACCCTTCACCCGCCCCTACCCCCATTCGTCGTTAGGGGAGGCGTCTAAGAAGTGTGCGTGTGTGCGAGGTGCATGTGTGTGTGTGTGTGTGTGTGTGTGTGAACGAGTGGCAAAGGGGTTCATTCCCTTACCTCCAAGAGAGGGAAGAGGGGGTGAAAGGAATGCAAGTGCCAGGGCGGGAAGAGGAAGACAGAGGAAGAGTCAAGAAAGACAGGTTGGTTCGTAGGGCGAGAGGAAGAAAAGTAAGAAGATGGACAAGATGAGAAAGAAGGAGATTGATTGATTAGTTGATTGGAAAAATAGGCACTGTGCAGCTGAGTTGTCTAAGTAAATGGGCAAAGAAGAAGAAGAAGAAGAAGAAGAAGAAGAAGAAGAAGAAGAAGAAGAGGAAGAAGAAGAAGAAGAAGAAAGAAGAAGAAAGAAGAAGAAAAGGGGTAGAAGAGCGCACAGTGCTGTATCTCTGTATCAGTGTGCGCCCCCACCACACCCACAGCTGTTAGCTCACCTCAGCAAAAGCTGTCAATAGTATTCCTTTGCCGATCAATTATAGTTTCAAGTGCTCGGGAAGTAAAATTTGACTGAATTGTAAAGGAAAATCTACAACCGTGCAAAATTTGTTTTGCATCTTTTTTTTTTTCGCCCTCACTGTTTGGGTGCAATCAGGGCCAGGCTGCACCAGCCGGCGCTGCACCGCGTGAGCGCTGCAAGCGCAAGCACATCTACGCAAACTCCTTGGGGGCTTTATTCACAAAACCAACCGAAAAATAAAAGCGAGGAGGAATGAAAGAGAGAGAGAGAGAGAAAGGATCACATCACATGCACGAGGGGCAGGCAGCAGTGCGAGAGAGACCGTAATGGGAGAAAAGAGCGAGTGAGGAGCGCAGAAAGGAGTGCTTTGGATCACTTCTTTAGCTCCGTTATTTCATCTCTCTCTCTCGCTTCCTCCTTTCTCCCTCTCTCTGCTCTTTGTCTTAGCCGAGGGCGTGTCTAAGGCGGGCGCTGATGTGGGAGGAAAAAATAAACAAGAAGCAGAGGAGAAAATAAAAAACAAGCGAAAACAAAAATAAAAAGACAGTCGCTGCACTCCACGTCAGCACGACAAATCAGGCGCCGTGTAGGTCGCAGCAGCGCACAACACAACAAGAGAGCATCGCAGGGGGCGCCAAAAGTTTAAACGCAAGAGAAAGACTGTCGCTTCTCGTCCACAATAACGCCGACGCTGCAACCTCAAGTGTGTCGCATATCTTAGCCACAGTTCACGTCTGGAGTAAAAGACTAGAACTACTGAGCGACTTCCACACGAAATCGTTCGAAATTGGTTCGCAATTAAAAAGCAACCACAATCGTTCGCAAGCATTTTGTAGTGCGTACAGGGTCGGCGAGAGCACACTATACTGGAATGGTCTTTTAAATGGACGCTAGTTTTTCTAACAGCAGATAATTTCTCATACAAAAACTACAGTTTTCAGTCGAACGCGTCAGTCATAACTATCACTTTGTCCTGCTGGATCTAACGCAAGACTGGCTCACTTTTCACTCGGCAGCGCAGTGAGCCGCTGCCGAGGTGGGTCCGTCCGAACGGTTCGCTTGTTGTTGCTGCACCGATGGGAAAAGGCGAAACAAAAGGCCCGGCTTCGTCTACTAGTTGCAGGCGGGCGGGCGCAAGCCTAGCCTCACTGGCTGCCTGCTTTGGTTCTGGAGGCAGTATTACTGGCCACTAGGGTCATCCGTGAGGGGAATGGGAGGGGTGGGGCGGAGCCACGAAGGGGAAAGGGCCTCGGGCGAGGCACAGCAACAGCAGCAGCACCCTCAATCCTGGGGGCAAAATAAAAAAAAAGTGAGAGGGGAAGAAAAAGAGACTAGTACTGCTAGTGCAGGGTTAGTTCTGGCGGTCGCTGACCAGGAAGAGAGAGGGAAAGGGCCAGAGAGAGATAGAGAGAGCAAATATGCAGCCGCAGTTGCAGTAGCAAAAGAGAGCGAGGGAGAAAGAGTCCACGACATGTTGTTCAGAGGATCCGGTGCGGGGTCCGGGCCAGCTTGGCCTGCCTATGCCCTTTCACAAACTACCTTCCGACCGGTCTTTGAAAGCGCCCCAGGGCGAGCCCCAGGGCCCCGGGGCGGCGCTGGCAAGGGTTTTGCACGCGCGAGGACGCTACGCCACGCCGGGGCCCTCCAGTCAAAGTGAATCCCCCGACCATATGATGGCCACGATCGGAGCACAGGCCTGTGGGGCGAATAGAAACTTTATAATTAGAAGCAGGAACCGAACCACGATGGGGCAGTAAAAAAAGGTTGAAAGGTGGAGAGGATTTTTCACGTACGTCCCACGCGTGTATCTGGGAGGCCTGGCTTGAACTCATGCCGAACTATACGTATGGCGTCGGCAAAGAACTCGACTCAGCTCGAGATAATGACACAGTTTATAGAAGTTTTTAATCATGAAGAAATGTTTGCTCGAGCATTTTATTGGCAACAGGGGGCGACGTCGGCTGTCGGCTTGGCTCATCTACGATCCTGGTCTATTTACCCAAAGGGTGGTGCAGACGAAGTGGAATGCATAACTAGTTCTGCTAGCTGTGCAATGGGCTCTCCACCGCGCCCTCTCCATGCATCGCAATTGCATCGCAATAATTAAAACTTTCTTCCGATATACGATCATAACTTGGCGTCGTTTGTAAAAACGAGGGAAAGTGCAGGGATGTATCTTCGTTCACGACTCGAAAAAAATGAAAATGATAATTGGCGTGCCCATGTATAAAAATTAGACACACTGCTGCTACACGAGTCTCATCCAAGAAAAAAACAAAAAATAGAGGTAGCTTTGGCGATGAGTCATTCGCGATCAATTTACGGACGCGAAGGGTTTGCATCAGATGGTAAACGCCACCACAACGGGGGAGAAAAAATACATACATGCTCCGTTATGAGACGCACGTATAACGTCTTGCTGCTAAACCTCCATAGCTCAGCCCTGGGGCCTGCTAAAGCTTTCATCTTGCCTTGTGGGCCCATCCTATACCCCTACCCCATCTCCCTCTCTCCCATGGGCCCTCTCACCGTCTCTCTCTCTCTCTCTCTCTCTCTCTCTCTCTCTCTCTCTACCTACTACCGCTGCCGCCACTGTGTCCACTGCTACATGAGGATAAACGCATAAACCTTCCTTTGTTTCGTGCAAATCTCCCTGGCCCGGTCCATCCATCCAGCCTCCCCCTTCTCCCCCCCTCTCTCTCTCCTTTCACCAGCCGCGCCTTGGTCCACACACTCCCTCCCCCGCCCTCCAAGCCCTTTCTCTCCTCCTGCTTGGACGAAATACGAAAAGTGCCAACCCTTTCCTTTTTGAGTCGTCGAGATAGGGGGAGAAAGAGAGAGAGATAGAGAGAAAAGGGGGGGGGGCGCAGCACGGCGTAAATTACTGGCTTAAAACAAAAGCCAAAGTCGTGATTATGGACGACTTAGCGCTAATTCGATCCTTCATATAGACGACGACCAGCGGAACAAAAGGAGCAGGCCCGAAAGAGTTAAAAGAGTGTAAGAAAGAAATTATTCATTCTCTCGCCTCCTCTCCGTCTCTCGCGTGAGCCCTTGGCTTACCGCGGCGCTGTCCATCGTATCGTCGTCGTCGTCGAAAGAAGAAGAAGAAGAAGAAGAAGAAGAAGAAGAAGAAGAAGAAGAAGAAGAAGAAGAAGAAGAAGAATTACGAATAACTCACATAGAAAAGCCAAAGACAGGGCATGGCGGAAAGGGGGGGGGGGGCAAGGGGTCCGAAATAATGGCGCATGGTCATTAACATTCGATGAGAATGGGAGACACGGGGCCCCGGCGCCACGCCCCGCCCCGCCCCGCCCCGCCACGCCCCGAGCAGCAACTAAAGTCACATTTGCGGCCGTCGAAGCGATCGAAGTTGCCCCGTTGTCGCGCCCGCCCAGAGAGGCGGACGGAAGGGGAAAAGGCAGGACAAACTTCGCTGGCGTCCCGCGACTCCTCTCTCTCTCTCTGTCTTTTTATTGGCTGTAGTTTGCGGTTCCGCCCTCGTCGTCTGGCGCGGCGGGCCGGGCGGGGTCACATCGCCTGCGGCACATATAAGCCCCTCTCTATGTATTGGAAGGCGCCGAGACGACGGCGGCGGCGGTGGCGGCGGCGGCGAGCTCCGCCCAAACAACAATAACAATGACATATCGAGGCGAGCTGCGCGACGCGCGACGCACCAACGGTCTGATAATACATATAAGCATTCAACTACATGTCGCACGCTTGCAAGTGTTTTACAACGTCTGTCGTCATTTGTAAGGGTTGAAAGGAAACAAACACGATATCGTATCTGGCCATACTGCGTGGAGAGGGTAACTAAACTTTTGAAAATGCACAACAACCATGTTTAACACCTTCACGTCAGGTCCATAACATCTAAGTTAAACACCTGGAATTTTCGACTACAGTCGACCACGTCGATGTGGCCTGCTCGTAGTTATT